TTTCGTGACAGTGCATCTGCCGTCTTGTCTAAGTTGCTTGGTTTATGCTTGTTTCCGTCTGCTCACATCTTCTGGGGGGAAGTAGTCAGCTTTCAGGCCCTTTTGCATATTAGGTATTAGGCACCTGGACCGGTCACAAGTGGCCCTGTCTCCCTGTCGCCCTGTCTTCATTGCCTGGAAACACCCCCTCACCGGTCAATCTTGACATGTTTCATGCCCGCTGTGCATCCCTGTTCCCAGCTGGTCTGCATGCGTAGATCGTTCGACTGAACTTTATGTACGGAGTACAAGGAGATGGATGTCCTTGCGGCATTCAAGGCTCAGGGCGCTCCCAGAAGCCCGATGTGGCCTTTGCAAGTGCCGCAATCCAAGCGCCCTTGACCCGGCCCTGACAGCAATATAGTCGCTTGCAACCCGTCACAAGCCATGAGTTACTCTTTTGGGAAGGCAGCCGCCTCATGAGGTTGTCTAGATGTGCATGCAGCGGCAGAGGCGCACCTGTGGGCGTTGCTGTTGCTGTTACTTGTGGTGGTGCTGCTGTTACTGCATATCTTCAACCATGAACTATTGCCTGCTATTGACTAGTAAACAACCTGCCTCCCCGTGCTATGGATACCGGATACTACCTCCTTTTCCTTCTCACTGTCTTTCTCGTCCAGATTCCCTTCTTGGCGCCATGCATAACTGCCATTGAATGTGTGCTCATCATTGCTAAGTCATGAAAAAACTCGTCTTTTATGCAACCATCCAGCCTCCCACCTAAGCAGCTAGGTATGTTTGTATGTATGCCACCCACACCCTACCTGCCCCTTCTCCTGCTGCATCAGACTTCCAAGCATCGGAGAGTCTCCGTTGGGTGTGTCTTGCATTAACAGAGTCAGTGTCCTCGAATCCTCCGTAGCCCTGTTTAGGATGACAGAACCGGCCGACTGGCTCTTCGTTCAAAGACATTTCCAACACGGACCTCAACTTGGTCCCTGGCTCCCTTCTCGGAGCAAGGTCTCCTTTCCTCACTGAGACTTGGCAGACCTTGTCTACCTGATCGGATTTGAGGTGAGGTGGTAGTTGGTTTTATCAAACCAGTGGCCCCTAACATAGGCTAGCCGTTGCCGCTATACGTGACCAGTGGCATTCTAAATAGCCCCGGCCAAGATCATCCTCTCCATTGACTCCACATGGCTCCCCTAAATCTGCACTGGCAAACATAGGGATTTTTGGAGCGAGTAATAAGTGAGTGTTAGCGATGGTATTGGTAAGACTGGCTGACTGGCTGCCTCATGTTATTATATTGGTGGACCGGGGTCGGGAAATTCACGACAATTGGTATTCCCACTTAAGATCAAAGCATTCTAATATGGTTAGCTATCCTTAATAGGTGAATCAACTAAAATCCTACCGTGGCCCGTCCTGCCTGGACTTACACCCACCCATGCATGCATGCACAGACGGTAGGTCACTGTCGGATGGACGCTTCCTAATAGTGTGGTCTGTAGTTGGCTCATCCCTGATTGGCAAAGTTTTCCTTGTCTTGTAATTTGACTTGATTTGACTTGATTTGATTTGATATGATTTGACAAGGAAGGCGTCTGGTTCACCTTTTGCCAAAGTCATCATGAGCCCCTAGATTATCGTAGATTGTCCGCGAGGTGTCTAATCTTCTCTGAGTCCAATGCTTATCCGGGAGACCCATCCTCTCTTTATCCTCCATGCAAACGCTGTTATCGTATATATCGCGTTTTCTTCGTAGAAATGTTGATAATCGTCCTCCATGCTTTTTGTTCCCAAAGGTTCAATGGCTGACCAAAGGGGATAAACAACATCCCCACTTTGGATGGCACAAATACCCAAGGGATATCCCGTCGCTAAACGCGTTTGGAGGCTAAAACCTCAAACATGAAGAAGAAACAGTAGCAAGAACATTAGATGCGCTATTCCCATACCAAACCCGAACAAGGGTATCGCTCCGAAAAAACAAGATCGTTCAAATAATGTCCAATGCAGACCTTCATAGTACCTGAGTTTAGACGCTGCCCCTGCCGATGGTGCCAGGCCTGCGCTGGCTCAACGCCTCAAGTTCCTCGTCATAAGTGGCGCCCTCACTGTCACTTAAGGGTCCGGCGGGCTCTCGTTTGGAGTGGTCAAAGTCACCCCGTTCTGTTGTGGCGAGGACCTTTAGGTCACCGCCTCGAGCGCCCGTCATGGCGTCAGTTTCGGCGCGAGCGTTGTTGATCATGGCTGGCAATTGGCGACGTCGAGCATTGATGAACCAGTTTGAGATTTGATCTGTTGGTGGATATGTTAGTTTTCAGTCTTGACTAGGCCTGTCCGTCCTTAGTTTAGTCCAGCCAAACTTACTCATCTGCAGTCCAGTCTGTCGCATGAGATCTTGCTTTTCGTCCTCGGTAGGGTACGGGTGTTGAAGGTGTGCGACGAACCACGCCCTGAGCTTGTCTGTAGTCTCCTTGGGCAAGTTTCCTCTTCGCTTCCGTTGTTTGTTATCACCGCTAAGACCAGCAGAGCTCATGTCTCCAAATGGAACGAAATCTTGATAAGGTGTGTTATATGTGCCTGGAGTAAAAGGTGTCCGGTCATACGAGTGAGCTGATCCTGTGGATAGTGACTGATATCGTGTTGGGTGGTGGTAAGGATACCCATAACCGTTTTCACGGTATGGTGAGACGCCAGGCTCAGATATGGGAGTTCGTGAATGTGGCATCGACTGCTGAGGTGGTCGATAGCCGTCTGCAGGTGCTGTGCCACGGCCCACGGGTAGTTCTCGTTCCAAAGAACGTGGTGGGGGAAGACTGGGTAACGTTGACCGAGGCTCTGTTCTCTCACTGACTTCCATTGAGACGGAGTGGGAATTTGACCCGTTTGTCAGAAAAGGGCTTGTCCTTGTGGAAGCGGCCCAATTCTCCTGTGACCCCCCTTGGATAGGTAGGTGTGGTGAAATCTGTCTGGGTGAAGCTCGATCCGGACTGTAGCACAAGCGTGGTACTTGGCGGACTCTCTCCATTTCAACTTCACGCTCCATTGATAGCCGCCTTCTTTTGCTAGAATTGGGTGAGTGTATATATTGAGGAGATGCTGCGGGCAATGGTGGTGCGCCCAAGGGTGGCCCTGTAGATGGCGGCTTGGTGTTAAGATCATGTGGCGGCTGGGTCTGAAGCTGTAATTCGGGGAATGCCTGTGAGGTGTTAGCAAAACATAATGGCTTGCTTGCCGAACCGATGTGATGTACCTGTCGAATTGAAGGAAGTGCAACTTTGTCGTTTTCGGTCCTCGGTCGAAGTGAATAGTCGGGACATCGGTTGGTTTCCCATGGACGGGGCATGCCGAAAGATGAAGGGTGAGGAGAAGGGGATGCTGTAGCAAGCATAGACATATTGGGAAGTTGAGGAGCTGAGTGTGGTGATTTCGTTTCAGACTGTTTTGACAGTGAACGCCTATCTTCCATAACAATACGGCGAACAGTGCGAGGAGTAACCGCGCAGCGGTTATCGTGATCTATTGCCCGGTATGAATGACAATTCGATTCTCGATTACGATCAATGATGAATTGTACCTTGGAGTATTACGCAATGTGAAGTCAAGGAACGCTTGAACGATCGTCCAGTCCGCAACGTTGCTGATCTAATAGACAGTTCAGGAAACAGCAGCGTTGGTGAGTAAAGAGCGAAATCAGGCAAACAGTCTTGAAGACTAAGCCTGGTCGTATTACAAGAAGATAGTGATGGAGAGAAGGAGATGGTGGTTCAAGAGAGTAACGATGAGTCGGGGGTTATTTGCCGGTGGTGGGACGCCCAAGCCTTTTGTATATCAGAGATATAATGGCGGCGTTTGGCCTTGACGGTTGTTCCAAACCCCATGTAGTGGGGGCTACTCAACCGTAGGGCAACGTAGACGAGGGAGCCAGGTTAGGAAATGCCAGAAGACACAGGGCCATAAACAGTCTGAGCGGAGAATTTCAAAGTGGTCGGGGCTGAACTGGAGAAGTCGCAGTATTAGTGAAACCAACTTATCCAAGCCACAGACAACGACGTGGGAACAAAGCGTTGTGGACTGGGATGCCAGGATCTTTAAAGTAATACAGACAGGTACCTCTCCAAGAGACTTCTTTGCCTCGAGGTGTGGAGGAAACAACCTGACGGGCAGTCTAAACCTGAAGGGCTCAGGCATGCGAGCTTGAACAGGGTACACAGGGCGATCAAGAAGCCAGGGGGAATGAAGGATGGGGCAAGATGAAGAAACAAATGGCCTGGCTTGAGAGAACCTAGCGTCGTATCGTTCAGGACAAGAGAAACGTCACCAATCCCAAAACACCCATGAACAGCTTTGACAGGCTCGTGGTGGTTGCTGGGATATGGTCACTTCCTGGATCAGGGGTGGTTATCGACATGGAGCAGGGACTCAACAAGAGGCCAAGACCTGGCGCTCATGGCTCTTAGTTCTCAATTTAGGAACCCAGTTGGAGAAGCAGAGAAAGTTGTCCAGGTCCATAGTCCATAGTGGCTGACACACCATGGCGTGTGCGATTTGGCAGCCTTTTCGATGTGGAGTGTGGAGTGTCAGCTAGTTTTCGCCGCTTCCACCCCCATCTGCATGTCCCTTTTTATGTACATACGTTGTTTGTCAGGACGATGGAGTCAAGGCGGTTGAGAGAGAACGTGCGATGAATGGGATTGTCCTACGCGAGGACCAGACCGGAGCTTAGGGTATCATTGCATGTGCATCTGTCTTTACACGCGCATGCATACCGACACGAAAACAGACATATAAGAGTTTGTGGTCATGCTTGATAGTACCCTGTCCTGAACAGGCCAGACCACAATTTTCGACATGGGCATAAAATTTTTATCCCTAACTGGATCTGCATTTCCTCAACGTTGGTAAGCCTCTGTGGCTTGGCGCTAGATTGCCGACTTTGGTTGTGGTTGTGGTTGTGAACGTTGTAAAAGTAAGAAGCCACTCATAGTCTCTCACCACTGCTTGTGAGGGGATCACGAGATTGGAGCGCTCTGACCCAGGCCGATGGGTTTCGGGCTTGTGGTGCTATTAGAGTTCAAGAATGACGGATGCTCAGCGCTGGTAGGTGCCGTGACGCTCTTGTCTGGCTTTGCCTCTGGCTGATACAGTCTAGGTGTCCGGGAAATAAACGGAACACTTTTGGTGGTAACCACACCTAAGAATTCCTGATTATTTTCCGGACCCGAGGGGACAGTCCAGCCTCGATATTTGACGGGTGTCATCTCCATAGTTGTTGTGGCTAGGGGCAGCGCTAGAGCGGCTACGGCACCCGCCACTGACAATGGCATTTGTAAGTTGTAGATATGCTATGAATCAACCGTTATCCTGGGCTCGCTACCGTCAAGCAAGCAATTACACGTCAGTACCGGGTTGTGGATCGGCGTCCAGTTTTGTAGGCATCACCATCTCAGGCACTCAAACTGCACGGTAGAGTTTTAAGTAAGTGGTCATCGTCGTACAATTGTCATTACCCGTCTGTGCTTCGAGGCTGAACCAAACGACCTCGCAATTGTGTCCGTAGGTAGGGACCATAGGCTCCCGGCATTCATTGTGTGTTCGGCAGCCAATGTGGGGTTGTTGAATGTGGTCAGGAATGCCTTGCCTGCTTGCTTGTCGTCGTGCTACGCTATGTTTGTTTCCTGGATTTTCAGCAATCCTGAAAGGGGGGGATAAGCCCACTCATATCACTAGGATTTCTGACTGTGACGCGGCTTGAGCGGGTACATAGACGGGAGGCCCGTGGCGTCGACGGGCAGTCCAGGCCCAAGTCCCTGGGTCTTGGGCGGTCCAACAAGATCTTGGAATAAACGTCCAGACGCCGGGTTGAGTGCAAAGACACGCATATGTATGTGTGTGCGTTGATAAGTAAGAGATGGGCGACCCACACCTCAAATTCTTTAGGAGATGCTATTTCTTCGCCTTGTGTTGGTTAGACATCAGCCATGGGCCGGAGAGTTATTCGATCGTACATGAATAGATAAATTATGACAGCTTGATAGCCCTTGCACAAATCGCAGAACATAAACTCAACAACCTGTCAGCAAAAGCTTTAATGCGATTGGCTTGTCAAGTTATACGATCGTCGCGAAGATCGCACGGCGCCGGGACGTATTGGGATCACCTCCGGAGCCAGGATAGCCATTCTCGAAAGCCACGATTGGTCCCTAAGAAAACGGTTTGGAAGGGATTGCAGGGCAGCATGGCATAGGACATGTGCTGCTCGGCGTAGGTGCACTGAAACAGCAGGTATTGTAGCATCTCTAGGCTCAATACGGTCTGCCACCGACGACGGTCAAAGTCATACTTGCTCTTGGCACCTGAATGAAGCTTAAGTTATCCGTTTGAAAACATGGTATCAGTCAAAAAGGATTGAACGTTACACCGCACCGAGGCTTGCTGGCGCGTGCCTGATCTCGGCAGATGAGTCTCGAGCTTAAACAGGATCATAAACTCTGTTTCTCCTTCCGAGGTGAAGTCTGAAAGGTTTGAGGTCCAGGACCGGCAGGTGAACCGATGAAGTTGCACTCACCGTTGAGGTTGGCGTTTGTTACGGAGACGATGTGATGCTATTCCAGGATGGGGAAGCTGATCAAAATTCTCCACATCATGGTCCACATCATGGTCCACATCACGTTACCTTGCACGGGGTTTTGGAATGGAAGGTGCCTTGAATGCATACCGACCTTACCTCTTCCCTGGGAATACACATACGGCGGCTCCATATACATACATATAGATAGGCAGGTACGTGCGTACGGTCAGGTAAGTACTACCTAAAATAGGGATTCTCATGATTCACTGACGGGAGGCGCCAGTAAATTGGCCGGATCGATTTCCAGCTCGTATCTTGAACATCTGTTAGATTAGTACGTATAACCGATCATCTACGAATCTCTACGCCACCACAAGCCAGATTCATGCTTCGAGATTACCTACTGCAAGCTAACTCACTAACTGGTAACTAACAAACACTTGATTTCATGCCAAGAGGTATGCTGATCAGCACGCCGTTGAGCGGTACGTGCATCGTAACCACCCATCTCATTTCCTCAACGGTCAATCCATGGGCAAGATCACTAATCCAGGTGCATGCAGTTCAGACCACATCGGTTACAGTACCAGGGTCATCACTAGCGAAACCCTGGTTCTTAAAGTTATTTCCTTGGCATCGGCCGCCCAACTAGTCCTTCATCGAGATAAACACAGCACCTCGGGCTTGCTCGTTATTACTTCATCCTGTTCTATTATAGTCGCCATGTCCAGGGCTGCGACTCAGCATGCCTGCTAGGATCAACCCAACCGAGCCAAGCTGGATCTGTCTGTCAGAGCTGGTGTGTGCACAAGTCGTCGCCCCATTCTCAAGGCTTCAAACAAGGGTGCCCGGGTACACCTTGCCCACAGGAGTATCCCGACATCTTCAGCTGACCACTCATCTTTCATTTCGGAGTTGCGCCGGGCCTCCTCTTGCCGATCAACTTTTGCCAGACCTTCGGCTATGAATAAATCCCTACGGCAATCCTCTAGTCTATCCACATCTGTCAAACTGCACAACGGAGATGCCTCAGAATCCTTCCGAATCACAAACCGACGCACTGACAGCAATTTGGACATGCCGGAAGTGTGCAGAACACCCGCCCTGATCAGTTGGGGTCCCGTTGACATACCCTTTCATTGATGGCTATTGGGAAACCACAATAGGCCTGTGATTCCGTTACGCATTAATTTGAGACATTTTGCAGGATGACCATGACGGTTTTTAAGTCATGTTCCAACAAAGTTGGGCCAAGGTGTTTCTTTATTCGCTATGCATATCATCGTTCTAAAGAAGGTTGTTTGTTCATCGACATTGATCTGACCCACATCGTTGTGCCGGCTATGCAAAGTATGCAGGCCATGCTCCAGTCACACGCATAATGCTGGGTAAGGCCATTCCCATACTGTATATACACCTTTTTGCCCATGCGAACCCTGGCTGCTGGACAAGACGTGGTGGCTGCCTCCTGTCGCACCCCGCATGGCCTTCAGGCCCCTTGATGTAGGTATCTCACTGCGGGTGAGACAACCTCAGTTCGGTTGTTTATTCAAAATCATGTATGGTACCAATCCACATACCCTCTGTTGTTCATTCAGACTTTCGGTGTCCCTCCCCATAATGGACCGGAAGAATCCCAGGGATGCATTCGCAAGATGGGCTGCACTAGGAAAAGAGTCGCCGACACGGCACCCTGGCTGTCTTGTTCATCCCGTTCTAAACCTCCCAATCACTACTCATCGATCAGTGGTCACAGCCATTGACATTTTCATCTCACGGCAGAGCCCGTTGGTCGGGAGGGGCTTTCAGGGCACCCCTGACCTACCAGCTATTGGGAGCTGGCGGGCCCGCAAAACCAACAAATCTGGCGCCGACCAGATCTGGCTTTTGACATATTTTGCGGGACAACCCCAGTCTCATCTCTGTGTCACCATCCATCATTTATCTGTCAATGATCCATGAGAAGGCTTCGTGAGAATTAAAAAGTCTCCGTCCATGCCCACATTCAACCCGACAAAACTCACCGCCTTGCATGAGCTCATCGGTCTTGCTCTACCAGATCTAGGACGGGATCACAGCTCACAGTACATTACACAAGTCCTGAAGTGCTCTTTCCATAACGTGGGGGCGTTCTTCATCAGATGCGCCAAGTCTCCCTAGTGGTTACTGCTCCTGACAGCAGAGGAAAAAAAAAGCAATCTCTCACAACACCATAGCATGTGGACTAATATCGCCCCTTACCGCCACGGTTCAGGATCCAAAGTTGCCAGTGTCCAACCGATTGGATAGCGCTCAAGACTACGCCGTCGCTTATCTCTCTTTTTGCCAGGTTGTCCTTCGTCATAATGATTTGCATGTGCTGGCACCTATGCCATCAACGGCTTTCTGCATGCTCCAAACGATGAATGACAGCAATGCCGGTCAGATCCAATCTTCCTTCCCTTCTTGAATGTCCGAGCGAGCAAGTTTTACTTTCTCCTCTAGCGGAGGATAATATCCAAAGCCTGATATGCTTTCACCAACACGTGATTACCAGGCTAAAGACAGAAGACCGGAGTGTCTTTTTTTTTTTTTTTTGTAGACTTTCGGAAGACGTATGTTCTTCGTAAATGGATAGCCAAGGGTCTTGCAGGTTGTGTTCCTCCCTCACCAAGTACAGGCTCAGGGGACATACACAGATCACCCAGTATACGACTTTGTTTTGTCAAACTGATACACAAAGAAAAGCGGTGACGGTGGCATCGCCAGTCGAATAACCTGGGTGTCACTGGCCAAATCGTCGAAAACACTGGTTTTGAATCTGATTACTTGTCTCATATGATCACGCCAACCTCGGAACTCGTTGGTGGCTGTGACCGTCAGTCAGTATCAATTGATCGCAAATTCGGGGCTACAAAGATTCCGTGCAGGTCATCACATCTTGTTAAAAACAAAGTTCCCTCTACCTACTCGCATGACTCGTTCATGTCATATTCGCTCGATACCACGAACAGCAAGCAACATGATCCGCGGGGACACTCACCTACAGTTTAAAACATCAGGGACGGTAGAATTGTCTCTTTAACAGGGGCATCCTGGCAAGGCGGGACCCTCAGCGGCAGGCCATCTGAATCAACTGCCACATCGGATCCCCTGCATCTGGCCCCTTCAGCGATATACCTACAGCGATGAATCCATCGTGTGCCCTCCTCAGCGGCTATTGCGTTTTCCGTTACTCTTGTACACTTCTGTGATCTTACACGAGTTCGGACAGCTTTGGTCGGACTTTGACCAGCATATGTATCATTAATGCATTTCGGAACCGTGTTGCAACACAAGCCACTTGATTACTCCTTGTTGTGCAAGCAGTATCACCCCGTCTCGATCGAACGGTGTTCACCCCGAGGTCGCACTGAGATTCTGTTGAACGATATCAATCAGGATATCAGTGCATGATCGGGGGAGTAATTGCCTATGGCCGAGGTCTCTTCCTTTCCGTGCATGCATATTACAAGCTGCATAATACCTGTCATGAGACCATCGTTTATGCGATAGCAATACCGACTACTTTGGTCAGATGCATTATTATTATATGATGATGATTTTATGGCAAAGAAGCTCTGCCTGCCACGAAGCAGAGGGTAACATACATCGTGGGTATGTATCCACCATAAATAGCGAGCGAATTGACATTTGATTTTGACCAGGAAGTTGTGGGTGTCTTCGTCCGTCCTCTCGTGAGAGTTGCGGTAATTGTGTATTCGAAGGTCATACCCC